CATTATGATTCCTAACAGTGGCAAAATTACAGTTATGAAGTAGCAAAACTATGAAAATAATTTTATGGTTGGGGGTCACCAAAACATGAAGAACTGTATTAAAGGGTCACAGCATTAGGAAGGCTGAGATCCACTGTTCTACAAGATTCTATATCCTCTTTTGGTCCATGGGCAGGCACACAGACACACAGTGCCTGCCCCCTCCAATATCTTAAGCAGATCACTTTTCCAAGTCCTCCTTTTGTGGAAAAAGTGTCATTGAGAACTCAACCATTAAAACTTCTTGAGGACAGAACAGTTTCTTCAGCTTAGTAGTGCAAGCATCACAATAAATGAATTGTGTCCTCTGAAGATAGACACAAAACCCTTAGACTTGTGAATGTGGCTTTACCTGGAAGTAGGTCTTTGTGTAAGTATTCAAATTAAAACAATGTCACACTGGTTTAAGGTGAGTCCCATCATTCTTTTAACACATACGAGACACACAAGAATTATATATAACAGCACATGCTGAAACTGTTAGAAAAGAGGTGAAAAAGAATAAAACCACACACACCTCTCGAAGAATGGCATTGCCATCATTGGTCATCACGATGCCTCCCATTGGGTCCAAAAGCATCTAAGAAAAAGCAAAAGTGTTACAGATAACAAAAAAGGACAACCTGGAGTCGGAGTTCCAACAAAAGATAGTCCAACCTTCATCATAGATTTAGGTCCCAAACATGTCCGGATGATGTCTGCAATTGTCTGTTGGTAAGGAAACACAAAACAACAAGTATAATCAGAAAACAACGTGTTTTGGAGAACAGTCTTTGTTTTCAACAGGGTCTCACTAGTAGCTCTGGCTGGCCTTGAACTCAAGAGATGCTTCTGCTTCTCAAGTGGTGGGATTAAAGGCATGCTCCACCATGCCCAGTTCAAAGTATGAGTGTTTTGACTGCACACATGTATGTTTGTGTACCGGATGCACGCCTCATGGCCACAAAGGCCTGAAGAGCACGTTAGATCCCCTGAAACCAGAGTTACAGGGGTTTGTGAGCTACCATCTGGGTTAACAGAACCAACTCTTTCTTCTACAAGAGTAAATGCTCTTAACTGCTGGGCCAACTCTCCAGTCAGAGTCAGTGTTTTAACAGTGACACTTAGGATGGTAACTACTTTACACACAGCATTAAATGACTTTACGCACGCACGCACGCACGCACGCACGCACGCACGCACGCACGAATGCATGCACAGCCTACTACAGTTTTAGTGTCCTAAGAGTCCAAGACTTAATATTTTCACTGACAGTGGCCTTCAGGCCACCTGAAATCAAGTCTTGTATCACTCACTCCAAAGATATTTACTTGTGGGAGACAGAGGCAAGTAGATCTGAGTTCAAGGACAGCATGGTCTACATAGTGAGTTCTAGGCCAGCCAGACAAGATCCTGTCTCCAAAGGGGGTAGGGGCAGCAGGCCTGGAGAGATGACACAGTAGTTAAGAGCACCGGTTGCTCTTCCAGAGGACCCAGGTTCAAGTCCCAGCACTCTCATGGTAACTCTCATAACAGTCTATAACTCCAGTATCAGGGGACCTGACCACCTCTTCTAGCCTTCTTGTGCACCAGGAACGCACATGGTACACACACAGACAGGCTTGCAGGCAAAACAAACCTCCCTCCTCATACCACTATCAAGGTATTTTTTTTCCTTTGCTTAACTGTATACTCTGAAGCACAGATCCCTAAGAAGCTTACATCTACAAATACAGAATTAGGGAGTCAGCCAGAACAAACGTCTATAAACACTTAAAATGTGTGCTACCTTAGCAGCATTGATATTTCCGGATTGAACTTTTCTTCCAGATTCACGCTTTGTATTCTGACCTAAAACAGAGAGAAACACATGTCAACAGCCCAGGATACACAAGCAATTTATTTCCCAATTAAAAGAAAACATTCATATTTTTTAAATCTGTATATGTATGTATGTCAGGTGCACATATGCTCGGCACAGTGTGGAGGTCAGAAAACAACTTTCGGAGTTACTTCTCTTTCTACCACATGTATGCCAGGGTTAAACTTGGTTATCAAAGCTAGCTGTGGGAAGCATGCCTTTAATTTCAGCACTTAGGGGGCAGAGTCAGGAGAATCTCTCTGAGTTGGAGGCCAGCTTGATCTCCATAGAGAGAACTTATCTCAAACAAAACAAACAAACAACAACAAAACAGACCTCCGGTTATTAGGTTTGGTGACAGGTGCTTTTTTACCACTGAGCCATCCCACCAATCCTATTTAACAACTTTTGAAAATAAAATAAGTAAAAAGGTTTCCTTGTTTGATAACCAGTTGTCAATTATACCTCAGGAAACCGTTTAGGGCTAGGCATAGTAGCACATGCCTTTAATCCCAGCACTGTCAAGACAGATGGATTTCTGTGAATTCAAGGCCAACCTGGTCTATGAAGTGAGTTCCAGGCCAGCCAGAGCTACAAAGTGAGACCCTGTCTCAAAAACACGTTTAGAGGCTGGAAAGATGGCTCAGTAGTTAAAAGCATGGAGGCTCTTGCAGAGGACCTGGGTTCAATTTCCAGCACTATCACGGCAGCTCACAACCAACTATGGTTCCAGGGGATGCCCTCTTATGGTGTCTGCAGGCACACAGACACATATGCAGACAAAACACACATGAAACGAAAATTAAAAAGCAAACCAAAAATCCCCCAAACTGCTTACATGTACTCTCAGCTCTTGACTTCTTTTTTTTTTTTTTTTGGTTTTTCGAGACAGGGTTTCTCTGTGTAGCTTTGCGCCTTTCCTG